TTATCTATCTGCATACTATTTATTTCACTTTTCATTTTGTTTATAACATATTTTAAGAAAACACTCTTTCAAGTAGCTACCTCTGTGTATGTATCATTAAAAACCACTCTGCACTAGTTTAGTGTGTCTCATAAATTTAACAATTAGATACAATATCTAAGAAAACATTTTCAAAGGATTTCTTTCTTTTGAACATCCTTCGAAATGACACTAACGGTCTGTGTCTCTTTCTTCGCCACTGTCGGCAGATACTTTTATTTTCTTATTGTTTCTTTAATGTTTGCTGGATTTTTTATGAAAAGAACAACAATTAAGGCGTATTTTTTCTATTCTTTACATATCACAATTTCTTGACATTTTTAGTAAAAGATGAGTTCAGTGGTTTTTAACAAAGTAGAACAAAACAGATGTTTTGTTAAATAAATTATTCATTTGTATAATTTACTTTATCATTGTTTGTAAGTGTTTTGATAAAAATCTTAGAAGTTTGGTGTTTCTATAGGAATATGTATGAATGTATGTATGTAAACTAACCAAATATGTAATAAGATAACAAATCATAATAACAATTTTCTTCTGCTTAATGAAAAAAATCTGTAGGTTGTATAGATTTAATAGACAAACAAAAAGAAATCAATTAACACCCGTATCTTAAGGGAGCCAACACTCGATATGTCGTATTTTAAATCGGTTTTATAACTATTCTATAGACTATTGTAAGAAAACAATTAATATCCATCAATATGAAAACAATTAAAATGATATTAAATACCTGTTATTTTTTTCTTCTTATAAATACATACTATCATATCAATGTTGAATGACATCACATCACATAACTGATTATGATTTTTAACACCCACAGTTTTTATTTGCTCTTAAACTCGGTTATGGAAATTCGAAATCTTGATATTGTATAAGTCGACTAATCTATTGACTGGACTATTCACTATATGCATTGACTAATGTATTGACTAGTCTATTGATCATTCTGGTGAACTAGGTTCTTAACTACTCTGTGAACTTCTCTAGTATATAGTCTGGTCTATAGTCTAGTCTATAGTCTAGTCTATAGTCTAGTCTATAGTCTAGTCTATAGTCTAGTCTATAGTCTAGTCTATAGTCTAGTCTATAGTCTAGTCTATAGTCTAGTCTATAGTCCTAGTCTAGTCTATAGTCTAGTCTAGTCCTATAGTCTAGTCTATAGTCCTAGTTTATAGTCTAGTCTATAGTCCTAGTCTATAGTCTAGTCTATAGTCTAGTCTATAGTCTAGTCTATAGTCTAGTCTATAGTCTAGTCTATAGTCTAGGTCCTATAGTCTAGTCCGATAGTCTAGTCTATAGTCTAGTCCTATAGTCTAGTCTATTCTAGTCTAGTCTATAGTCGTCTATAGTCTAGTCTATAGTCTAGTATAGTCTAGTCTATAGTCTAGTCTATAGTCTAGTCTATAGTCTAGTCTATAGTCTAGTCTATAGTCTAGTCTATAGTCTAGTCTATAGTCTAGTCTATAGTCTAGTCTATAGTCTAGTCTATAGTCTAGTCTATAGTCTAGTCTATAGTCTAGCCTATAGTCTAGTCTATAGTCTAGTCTATAGTCTAGTCTATAGTCTAGCCTATAGTCTAGTCTATAGTCTAGTCTATAGTCTAGTCTATAGTCTAGTCATAGTCTAGTCTATAGTCTAGTCTATAGTCTAGTCTAGTCTAGTCTATAGTCTAGTCTATAGTCTAGTCTATAGTCTAGTCTATAGTCTAGTCTATAGTCTAGTCTATAGTCTAGTCTATAGTCTAGTCTATAGTCTAGTCTATAGTCTAGTCTATAGTCTAGTCTATAGTCTAGTCTATAGTCTAGTCTATAGTCTAGTCTATAGTCTAGTCTATAGTCTAGTCTATAGTCTAGTCTATAGTCTAGTCTATAGTCTAGTCTATAGTCTAGTCTATAGTCTAGTCTATAGTCTAGTCTATAGTCTAGTCCATAGTCTAGTCTATAGTCTAGTCTATAGTCTAGTCTATAGTCTAGTCTATAGTCTAGTCTATAGTCTAGTCTATAGTCTAGTCTATAGTCTAGTCTATAGTCTAGTCTATAGTCTGGTCTATAGTCTAGTCTATAGTCTAGTCTATAGTCTGGTCTATAGTCTAGTCTATAGTCTAGTCTATAGTCTAGTCTATAGTCTGGTCTATAGTCTAGTCTATAGTCTAGTCTATAGTCTAGTCTATAGTCTAGTCTATAGTCTAGTCTATAGTCTAGTCTATAGTCTAGTCTATAGTCTAGTCTATAGTCTAGTCTATAGTCTAGTCTATAGTCTAGTCTATAGTCTAGTCTATAGTCTAGTCTATAGTCTAGTCTATAGTCTAGTCTATAGTCTAGTCTATAGTCTAGTCTATAGTCTAGTCTATAGTCTAGTCTATAGTCTAGTCTATAGTCTAGTCTATAGTCTAGTCTATAGTCTAGTCTATAGTCTAGTCTATAGTCTAGTCTATAGTCTAGTCTATAGTCTAGTCTATAGTCTAGTCTATAGTCTAGTCTATAGTCTAGTCTATAGTCTAGTCTATAGTCTAGTCTATAGTCTAGTCTATAGTCTAGTCTATAGTCTAGTCTATAGTCTAGTCTATAGTCTAGTCTATAGTCTAGTCTATAGTCTAGTCTATAGTCTAGTCTATAGTCTAGTCTAGTCTCATAGTCTAGTCTATAGTCTAGTCTATAGTCTAGTCTATAGTCTAGTCTATAGTCTAGTCTATAGTCTAGTCTATAGTCTAGTCTATAGTCTAGTCTATAGTCTAGTCTATAGTCTAGTCTATAGTCTAGTCTATAGTCTAGTCTATAGTCTAGTCTATAGTCTAGTCTATAGTCTAGTCTATAGTCTAGTCTATAGTCTAGTCTAGTATAGTCTAAGTCTAGTCTATAGTCTGGTCTATAGTCTAGTCTATAGTCTAGTCTATAGTCTAGTCTATAGTTGGTCTATAGTCTAGTCTATAGTCTAGTCTATAGTCTAGTCTTTAGTCTAGTCTTTAGTCTAATATAGTCTAGTCTATAGTCTAGTCTATAGTCTAGTCTATAGTCTAGTCTATAGTCTAGTCTATAGTCTAGTCTATAGTCTAGTCTATAGTCTAGTCTATAGTCTAGTCTATAGTCTAGTCTATAGTCTAGTCTATAGTCTAGTCTATAGTCTAGTCTATAGTCTAGTCTATAGTCTAGTCTATAGTCTAGTCTATAGTCTAGTCTATAGTCTAGTCTATAGTCGTCTATAGTCTAGTCTATAGTCTAGTCTATAGTCTAGTCTATAGTCTAGTCTATAGTCTAGTCTATAGTCTAGTCTATAGTCTAGTCTATAGTCTAGTATAGTCTAGTCTATAGTCTAGTCTATAGTCTAGTCTATAGTCTAGTCTATAGTCTAGTCTATAGTCTAGTCTATAGTCTAGTCTATAGTCTAGTCTATAGTCTAGTCTATAGTCTAGTCTATAGTCTAGTCTATAGTCTAGTTAGTCTAGTCTATAGTCTAGTCTATAGTCTAGTCTATAGTCTAGTCTATAGTCTAGTCTATAGTCTAGTCTATAGTCTAGTCTATAGTCTAGTCTATAGTCTAGTCTATAGTCTAGTCTATAGTCTAGTCTATAGTCTAGTCTATAGTCTAGTCTATAGTCTAGTCTATAGTCTAGTCTATAGTCTAGTCTATAGTCTATAGTCTAGTCTATAGTCGTCTATAGTCTAGTCTATAGTCTAGTCTATAGTCTAGTCTATAGTCTAGTATATAGTCTAGTCTATAGTCTAGTCTATAGTCTAGTCTATAGTCTAGTATAGTCTAGTCTATAGTCTAGTCTATAGTCTAGTCTATAGTCTAGTCTATAGTCTAGTCTATAGTCTAGTCTATAGTCTAGTCTATAGTCTAGTCTATAGTCTAGTCTATAGTCTAGTCTATAGTAGCTATAGTCTAGTCTATAGTCTAGTCTATAGTCTAGTCTAGTTAGTCTAGTCTAGTCTATAGTCTAGTCTATAGTCTAGTCTATAGTCTAGTCTATAGTCTAGTCTATAGTCTAGTCTATAGTTTCGTCTATAGTCTAGTCTATAGTTCTAGTCTATAGTCTAGTCTATAGTCTAGTCTATAGTCTAGTCTATAGTCTAGTCTATGGTAGTCTATAGTCTAGTCTATAGTCTAGTCTAGTCTATAGTCTAGTCTATAGTCTAGTCTATAGTCTAGTCTAGTCTATAGTCTAGTCTATAGTCTAGTCTATAGTCTAGTCTATAGTCTAGTCTATAGTCTAGTCTATAGTCTAGTCTATAGTCTAGTCTATACTCTAGTCTATACTCTAGGTCTATACTCTGGTCTATAGTCTGGTCTATGGTCTAGTATATAGTCTAGAACCTCAGCAAACAGTTTTGTTTTAGTTTATTTTATGGATATTTCCGGGGTGCCGGTTTCTAGCAGAAAATATTCCCATAAGAAATATTCATATTTGTTTGTCAATTCAACATAATTGCTGTGATACAACAACAATTCTCCAATAATTATGTTTACTACTAAGTAAAGCCATAAACCAAAATTACTGCCCTTCTTTCCCGTCTGGCAATACTGTAGCAATAATAACGTCTGCTGCCATCTATTTGATAACATTCTATTAATCGACTTTTGATAGGGTTCTATAGTTGAAACAAGTCGACTTTTTGCTATATATGAAAAGTCGACTGTTTGACCCTTTACAATATGGAAATTGTTTACTGTCACCGGCTTTTGTTTTCTTTTTGTCAATTTTTAATAAACAAACATGTTTTAATAATATTTTAATGTGGACATCTTTCTGCTCTTTGACTTTTCCAATATTTTAATATTTAGGAACTTAAAATTTTATTATATTTCCATTTTTTTATAATAATGGACGTATGGATATTTTAATAACGGTATATTATTACCGGTAAAAAACAATGACTTCGGTAAACTTAGCCGGCTTATAATCGAATTTAAGCCGCCGTCAAGAATTGTAATAATAGACGTTATTATTAATTTTGGTCGGCGTAGATGTCTGATTTCTGCATTAAATAAAACTTGAGAAAAAAAGGTGTAGAAAGAAAAAAAGTTAAAGTAATTTTTTTTTAAACGATTAGGCGTATGTATTTGGATTGTTTAATTGGAAAAAATGTGTGTCATTATATAGTTATTAATTAAAGTGCCAAAAAATGTATAAATAAAAGGTAGCAAGCGCGAATTGGACAAAAAGAAAAACAAACCACAAATATGATTCCTTAAAAGAATGAAATGAAACACTCTCACACAAAACTAATGAAAAAAAATAATAATTTTGTCTGCCACCAAGTACTAGTCACAGCAATAAAATAAAGTAAAAAAAAAACATTACGAAGAAAATACGTAAAGTTAAATAAACAAGGAAGACAACATCATTTGCATTTATTGATACAAGATTAACAATTTTATTTATTTCTAAACAATACACATTTCTTTTATAATTATTAATATTAGAAATAAATTTGCCACTTTAAAGGCAGCAGCAGTAGGCAAACAAATAGACACACGTACACACAAACACAGAGTAAATTTACAAAATGGGTAATAAAAATTCTTGCTGTGCCTATTCGAGTCCACAATCGGATCGAAAATCAAAAGACATACCGCCCGTTTACGAAGAACGTCATCATATACACCAGCACAACTCGCAGCATCAATTGGATGGCCATGGTCATGGTACAGCATCTACTGCGGCCGTACACCACAACGAAGAGTTGAATGACAATCCACAGCATCTGCAGCATATCTCGGAACGTGAGGGTGTAGAGGGGGAGGAGGATCCCTCGGTAGATCCTACAGCAGCCACAATGTTTTTAGAACGCTCCAAGATTGAAAATGGTGGTATAACACGCAAAAGATCTCAGCACCAAATCGCTCAACAGAATTCTACGGGAGGATTGAAGAAAAGTTCTTCATGTTCTACCATCTTTTTAGATGACAGCACTGTATCACAGCCAAATTTAAAGAACACGGTCAAGTGTGTGTCACTAGCCATTTACTATCACATTAAGAACAGACAGTTCGATCGGCGCTTAGATATATTCGATGAAAAACTACACCCCTTGACACACGATCCGGTGCCCGATGATTACGATACCCACAATCCAGAACATCGACAGATTTATAAATTTGTGCGCACTTTATTTAATGCCGCCCAGTTGACGGCTGAATGTGCCATTATCACACTAGTCTATTTGGAGCGTTTACTAACGTATGCCGAATTAGATGTGGCTCCCTGCAACTGGAAGCGCATGGTATTGGGCGCCATTTTATTGGCCTCCAAAGTATGGGATGATCAGGCCGTTTGGAATGTGGACTATTGTCAGATCTTAAAAGACATAACGGTGGAAGATATGAATGAGTTGGAACGCCAATTTCTAGAACTATTACAGTTCAACATTAATGTACCCTCTTCAGTGTATGCCAAGTATTATTTCGATTTACGCACACTAGCCGAGGCCAATGAACTATCATTCCCCACAGAACCTCTATCGAAAGAGCGAGCCCAAAAGTTGGAGGCCATGTCGAGGGTCATGCAGGATAAGGTCACAGCTGAGGCTTTGAAGAATGGCATTAAGAAATGGTCCTCTATGGACAATATCAGCCAAGGTGGACCCAGACGTAGTGTTGCTATACTATCGTGATTTTTATTAGTTTATTAAAGTTGAAACAAAAAAAAAAAAAGAATAAGAAAAAAATAAAATAAGGTTCACTTATCCAATCCAAAGTTATAAAAAAAATGGTTTGCTGCAACCTACATTATGAAGCAAAAAGAGAAAAGGAAACCAATTGCCAAAACATATTTCTATTATGCACACACCCACAACCAAACAACAGAGAGACATTAAAACACACACTCACTTTACTCACCCACAGACGGACGGTTGGACTGACAGACAGACGACGTTTAGACAAACAAACATAGAACTAACAACATTTCTCTCGAAAATAAAACATTTTTTAAAGCGTTTGCTTAGCAAAATGCTAAAATACTAGATACGAAAATGAAAAAAACAAACGAAATATTAAGTATAAATGAAATTAATGTTGCGATCAAATCGGGTTCCCAAAGAATTTTTAATTTTGAATTAGTAAAACTATTGAAATTTGATAAGAATGGTGGTTCGTTTTTCTCGGATCAGAATAGAAACTACAACTTGGTTTTATAACAGATTGATTCAATTAGTATTCAATTTAATAATTCTGACCCTTAAAACTATAACATTTCTAAAAAAAGATCTAAAACTTTAAAATAATCCAAATTTATAGTAAAACTCTCAATATAGTTTTAAGTTCTAACAATTCGAACAAAATATTAAAGAATTCTCAAAACTACCTTAATGGTATCTATTAATCTCTAACTCAAATCAAATAAATTGTACTATAACATAGTACAAACTTCCTACCCTAAACCAAGAGACTTATTTAGGAATTATTTTTCTACAAAAAAATACAAACTTCGACTCAGAACTGGGGCCGACTTGA